AAAAATAATAACTATAACAAAAAACCCGAATATAAAAACCCTAACCCCCGAACTGTTGCGGTAAGGGTTGGGTGGGTGAGTCAGGTCACCTGCTGGTGAGCGTAGGACAGGGCTTGAATGAACCGAGTCTGGCTGCAAGAAAACTGTATTACTTGTTGATTTGGTCTACCTTGCCTTTCTATAGGCTTGCTGGAGTGCCGCTCATACATTCGAGCTTGCTTTTATGATGGCTGTACTAACTTACCTACATGTCTCTTTAAACTCTGCATACGCCTGCTGTGGGGATAGTTTCAGGGTTGGCATACATATCTACCTCACCTGTATATAGGCTTGTTCAGGTGATTGTATATCAATCATGCCTACATTCCATTCTAAGCGCTACATAGGCCTACTTAAATGATATTTGATCTAATTTTCATACCTATCTCACCTGTATATAGGCTTACTTATGTGTTTATATAGATTACTTACATACCTGCCTCACCTGTATATAGGCTTACTTAGGTGTTTATATGGATAACTTACATACCTACCTCAAGTTAGGTGTTTATATAGATAACTTACATACCTACCTCAAGTTAGGTGTTTATATAGATAACTTACATACCTACCTCAACTTAGGTGTTTATATAGATAACTTACATACCTACCTCAACTTAGGTGTTTATATAGATAACTTACATACCTACCTCAACTTAGGTGTTTATATAGATAACTTACATACCTACCTCACCTGTATATAGATTTACTTAGGTGTTTATATAGAGAACTTGCATACGTATCCACCTAGCCGCTACATAAGCCAGCTCAGGAAATCAATTTAATAAATTACATTCATACCCGCCTCACTTGTACATAAAACCCTAATCTTCATACATACCTACCTAACCTGTACACAGGCTTGCATAGGCGATGATACAATCAACTTACATACATATCTACCTACCACCTACAAAGACCTGATTATGTGATAATTGTCCCAATTTACATACAGACCTAACCTTACCCGTACATAGGCTTGTATAGGCGATGATGGAATCAACTTACATACATATCTACCTACCACCTACAAAGGCTTCCATGGGTGATGATATCGCCAACTTACATACATATCTACGTACCACCTACAAAGGCCTGATTATGTGATACTTGTCCCAATTGACATACAGACCTATCTAACCTGTACATGGACTTACAAATGCCTGATTATGTGATAATTGTCCCAATTAACATTCAGACCTACCTAACCTGTACATGGGCTTCCAAAGGTGATGATATAGCTAACTTACCTACATATCTACATATCTACCTACCCTATACACAGGCCTGCTTAGGTGATGACCGTGTATGCCCCAATTGTGCGCCGGAGACTCGTAAGGTGGCGGAGATGATGCGCATGCGGGAGTCTAAGGACAACTCGGAGAAACAGGAGCAGTTCTTTAAGCAACTAGAAGGCGCGAAAGACGGGTTCGCTGTGGTAGCTGAGTACTACGGAAAGGTATGGCAAGTCAAAGGTCCGGTTTGTATAGAAGAGTTTTTCTGGACCGGTTAGTGTAGATGTGTATTTTGGGACTGGGTTTACTAACAACCGCTACGAATGGATCGAACACTCACAGGGAATATTCGACACCAACAATCCCAAGAATGCGAGGCGGAGGTCCAAGGCATCTATCTGAACCACAATATTAAGCGGCAGAAATAAAGTAGTCCCGATTTAGAGAAAGCGGCCCGGCTGTGGAAGACAAGCTAAATCAGGATCAGACAGGGCAATTATATCTTGTTTGTGCCACAGACATGGCACTGACACCGTACGAATTTTCGGATCGTCTTTAGCACGGATGTCGCAAATTAGGTCGTATATTATCACAATCTCAGTATTCGCGCCGAACGTTGAGACTCGAACAATTTGCGTCACGGGACTATTTGCGACATCTCGCGTGACCCGGAGATCAGATCCAGGGTGAGAGACAATTATCCAGGAATGCTCTATCCTCTACTTGGTTTCAGAGAGTTTTAGAAACAGATCACTAGCAGGGCTTGTCTTCCCAGAAGATCTGTCCAGATATACGAAGGATATGACTCTACCAACGCGATGGATTCTGATGGCCGGGCGCCAAAATGCCGTGACACATGCTGGTATTGGTACTAGCCCCAATGAACGCCACACTTGAGCCTGAAAGAAATTAGATTGTTCCAGCAGGGGTTTACATTGGCGCCTGAAAGTATAGTGTTGTGTTGTTGGGAGGCTATGCTGAAAAAGCCTAGCATCGTTCCCACAGCAACTTGTTGGCTTTTTCGACAGACGAGTGCTTCGTTGTGTCAGCGCAAAGTGTATCTGTACACGTACCACTGTGGTGGTAGTCTCGAATCGTTTTGCTGCACTCCGGGGCTTCGGAAGGTTATACCCGTATTATGGTGATCACACTCAGAGCGAGGTTCGGTAAATTGCCTAGTAGGACTGGACGGTCTGACTATAATCTGCTTCACACGCCACCTTGACCCCTCCTATAAGGCAAGCGTCCCACCTGACACGCTCGAGAGAGAGTGACTCAGGGACCTCGCATAAGCGAGTACCGAACTTGTTGTACGTCTCAGATGCTTCCGCAGACACACACGCGAAACCGCCTGCACAGTGTGTGGTCGTTCAGCGAAATTGTTCGCCTGGCCGTATTGATAGGTGAATCACGGACTATCGCAGTTTGGATACTGGCTGTTCTCTAGTCACTGGGGTGGGATACGCTTATGTATTCTACCAGAAACAAGCGGGTGTTATATTATATAGGTCAAGCATCTAAGTGTTGAAATCCATTCACGGATGGAATAGAAGGACGTGCTATAGGCGAAGTGGATCGGAACAAACATTTCTACGAGTATACAGGTTTGCGAATAAACTCTGTAGATGGAAAAAGTGGTATTTTCGTTGTCCAGCCCGCCACGATACGTTTGC